GTTGAGGAGACAATTCAACCGGTCACCCTGGCGTCCGGTCTTCAGGCAGCGCCCAACTTCCACAGTGAAGACACGCCATCTGAAGAAGAGATGGAGATGGCAGATCCTTTCCATGAGGAGCAGTCACCTGCTGACCAATCAACTGAACAAAATGTAGCCGTCACTGAGAAGGTAGACAAAGATTTGTCTTCCAGAAACAAACGACAGAAGAAGGGGAGCAAACGCGTTTCTGAAAGCTCTGACACTCATGATAAACGCGAACAGCAGAGCGACGTACTTTCCGACGAGGCGAGGAAATCGGTTGATCCCTTCTCTGAGGACAGGCTGCGAGAAGGTCCGCTGTTCGTTGAGGACATAATTCAACCGACCGTTTCTGCTGATGCCCTGCAATCAGCTGCCGTTCGCCATACCCCGGAGCAGCACACGCCTTCCGAGGAGGAGATGGAGATGGCAGATCCTTTCCATGAGGAGCAGTTACCTGCTGACCAATCAACTGAACAAAATGTAGCCGTCACTGAGGAACCAAACAGAGATTTGCCTTCCAGAAACAAACGACAGAAGAAGGGGAGCAAACACGTTTCTGAAAGCTCCGACGCTCATGATAAACGCGAACAGCAGAGCGACGTACTTTCCGACGAGGCGAGGAAATCGGTTGATCCCTTCCCTGAGGACAGGCTGCGAGAAGGTCCACTGTTCGTTGAGGACCCTATTCAAATAGATCAGCTTGTTGCACAACCGGGAGATGAACTGCAGCCAGGGGAGAAAAATATTTCTAGGACTGCGGATAACAGGAAAGGAACTGCGAAGCAGACTTCGAAGAGAACTTCAGAATCTGAAGGCAAAAGTCAAGAGCGGCGGAAGAAGGAGAAGCAAGGTACTTCAGCGAAAGGATCAGTCATGGCTGCTATTACAAGCGAGACCGTTGTGACGGATGAGGTGAGGACTGAAATTTCAAAGAGCACTGAGGACTCAGGGAAGAAGAAACGAAAGGAGGAAAAGCCACGAGCTGTAAAGGAGCCAAAGGCCGAAAGTAAGGCGAAACCGAAGTTGGAGGCAGCCGCGCAAGCTAAGAAGGGGGCTGCCGCACTTGAGACAAACATTCAGGCAGCGCCACTTTCCACTAAACAGGCGACTTCCCTCGCAACTGGCTCTTTACCAGCGCCAGCTGGTGGAGAAAAGTCTGGCAGGAAGCAGACTACCTCTCTCAGCGAAATCGCTGACAAACTGGAGGAGGTTGTAGAGATTGCAACGCAGCAACAGCAACAGGAGGGGAAGTCTGCTGGCAGGCAGAAGTCCTCCGGAAGGACTGGACAGACAGCACAGCAGAAAAAGAAGAAATCAGAAAAGGTGCAACCAATGGATACCGGAGATCTGCAAGTTAAGCCAACTGATACAAAGCCGTCTGCTAAGACGCCAGCCAAAGAACCAAAGAAGACTGCGAAGAAACAACCGAAGGTGGTTGTCGCTAGTCAGCCGAAGACGGTGGAGGCTTCGGAGTAAGTTGACTATTTGAGTCAACGACCTGTTTGTACTTCTTAGTTTAGGTGTTTGTAAACGAGATGCTTTATGGCCAAATGGGTTGATTGGGACTTAGTAGTAAGGATAGGCTGTGTAATTCCACTGGGTTTAGCCTGTAGAAGTTACTATTATATTCGTTTTAGAATGCCCTGTTTTACTTATTTATCAATAGCTACAGGAAGTCTCCCTTTGGGTGTTATCTAGCGCTTTGGTATGACCGAATGCGCCGAGTTACTTCTGAACGGTTTCTGTTGTCGAACGCGTACGCCTGACTTATAATAAACAACAATAATAAGACAGTAAAAGGTAGTTGAGAGGTGGGCTTACATAACCTACCGTTGCCGATTTAGTACTTGCATCATACTTACTAATTTTGTGAATACTTTGGCTCTTAGATCACCCTAAAGTTTTATATATGCCAGAGTATTCACAGGGCTGTTAAACTGACCATGACAGTGCGTTTGTAGAAGACAGTAATAAGATATTCTTCGAGTACCGGTGCCTGAGTAGGTATGTGAACGATTCCATGGATTGCAGTTCAGTCTTTTGGAACATCTATGAGGCTAAAGTTTGCTAAATCGACTCGGCTTTGAACCAAAAACCGTTTCATGTCTCCGACCTCTTCGCAAATGTGCCTCAAAGATACAAAAAACGTCTGAGGGCAGAAACTTAGACGGGTAAAACCATCGATGTGTTGAGAAGGGTGATCTGTCTCATCTGCTACCAGGACGTACTTCTATGCTCCTGACAGCTAGGTCGCAGGAAGTAGAAGTAAGAATGGCTTAGCACCTTAGCCTTCTTCAAGGATCTTCCCGACTTGCTGGCCTATGTTGTGGCTGCTCTCAGTCTGAAGATTGGTCTGTCTCGTCCATCTGCTGATAAGTCACTTGGCCTTGCGGAATGTGTACAGACCTGTTGAAGGTTTGGTGGTTGAACTGAATTATATGGCCCTCTAAACAGGACATGAGAACAGGAATCGCCTGCAATACCGGCGGCTTTGGGCTAACGTCCAGTGAAATTAGGATTAGGTCTAAGGTTAGGGCTGGGGCAAGGTTAGGGATGGGGTTCGAGGTTAGATTTCAAGGTAACGGTAAGTTAAGTCAGCCTTGAATTTTTGGGTCAAGGTAAGGCTTGTGTCAACTCCAGAGTTAAGGTTTAGTGTAAGGCTAGGATCAAGATTAAGGTGACGGTCTAGTTGTATGCTAGAATTATTTTTAGGGTTAGGACGCGGGAATATTTTGCCCTTTCCGGAAATATGCGTTGGTCCACTTGTGCGGGGCGCACCTATTTCCGTGTTCTGTTTAGCCCTATAAATTTGGTGAATGTAGACAATCTTTGACCTTGAGAACAGTTATGCCAGCATATAAGTTGTTAAATAACGTCTAAATTGTTTTGTGATCCTTGATAACCAGGGATTCGAACACGCGTTAAGTAGCCTAACAGTCTACCAATGAACTACAACTCCGTTGTCCTGTCGGTTTTTATCTGTGATATTCAATGTCGTGAGACAGGTGCTCACCGATCAGTTTACTGGAAAGGCTCGTTCCTTTGGGCCTCACAGACAGTCCCACAGCAACGGGTAACAGGTGCCCTATGTAGGAAACATTCTGAACAAAGGGTAAACGTGGTATTCATTCACTGCTGCGCCTCCTTGATATTCCGGTCGATAGATGTTGTAGTAAGCTACGAAGACATTAGAACGCTGGTGATTTTTTGTTGTTTAGGAAGAAAATTTGTTCTCAGTTGGGGCATTAATTCAGGGCAATTTGCAGGCCTGCCCCGGGAGATTGCAGGCTCCGTCCGTACTGAACAAGAGGAAACTCACCTTCGATATCGGTATTCTAAAATTTTCTTTCAATGTGGCGACTGGATTGTGCGACTTCCGTCCCCCAGGCGTGTCAGATTGCTGATCACCACACTCATGTGTCTTTCAGTATACACGTTTGAAGACAACAAGTCGTGGACCCTTGGAGGGCGTTAATTTATAATCCCAATGGAGCTGTGGTAGAATTTCCCGTATTCGAGCAATCTGTGCGCCAGACTGATTATTGGTATTAAACCAGTAATCATTAATCCAGTTTCCCCACACTGCCGGTTGTATCATACGCCAGGCCTATGTCCCATTTAAGGCCTAAAGGCAATCCAAAAGTAGCACCTGCGTTTCATATTAATCCTCTCGCTGCTTTCATGGGGTACGAATTTATTCGGTTTATGAGTCCAGTCTAGAGCTATAAAGCTGCACAACCTATTATCTTGTGGAAAGCACGTTCTTTTTATTGTACCGAAAGATTTGACTGTTCAGTGTTCTAGGTGGGTTATGCACTTTTCTGCCTTCTTGGGACTGAATATTTATGACCATCGCGACAGGGTTTTCTTCTAAAGCTCCTGATCATAGTTAACTGTGTTACGTAGCTCCCCGAACCGTCAACTGGTCGTTACATTGAGGCACGATTGTGAAGCTCGAGGTTTCTTAGAAACGTGTTTCAGACATTTGCTAAAGTGCTTTTGTACCTATTTTTGCCATTTCCGCGTGTGCTGCCATCAAGCAAGTGAGGAGGGGGAGGGGGCCATATATCTAGAAATGTATCGTTTTTGAAGCAGATAGCCAAACGTCGACCGAATCACTGTAGTTCGAGAAAGTGAGTATTCTGAACACATACTGACGAAAGTATCATTTCCGAGGCAGATAACCAAGTACGGACGTCGACCCAACCAAAGTAGGTGGCAGACATGTAAGTTTGGATTTCAAAGTGGGATGTTTGCATTTCAGTATTACCGGAGTCAACTTATTGTTACCTTCACATTCTTTTATTCTTATCATTTTATCTGTCCATGTACCGCTTTCTCCGTCGCCAATTAAAGTTGTCGCAGTAGCATTATCAGAATTTTTGCACCCTAAGGGCTGATTTATGTCAGACACGTGCAATGTGCTTCTAAGGCCTAGTGTTAACTTTGATCAGGATTTAATCTGTAAATCTGCATCATGTATTGAATGAAACAGCCGATAGGAAGTACAACCGGCTGCGTGATCAGAGGACATAGTATGTTTTTGACATGGCGGTTAGACCTTTGAGTTGCTCTCTGGTATTCCGACCAACAGAGCGCTTGTTTTGTTATTTGAGTCTCTGAAGTCCTATGGGAAACCAAAAACAACAAGACACGCGGAAGCGACACTATGGAAGAGTGGTAATAAAATAACAATGGTTCTACCAGTTGTTATCGCCTATGTGAGCAGTAGTGTTCTCGGAAAAGCAATTGCGTTAAACTTGATACTTAACCTATTAAAGCCCGCCAATGCTGTTTTTCTAAAAAAAACTACATTGACGTCTAAACACAGCGTCAAAATAGGAATAGATTGTGGCCCTGAAAACTGACGGCCTAAAATTAAAGTCCACGCCTCAAGTCCCTTTCTGCGCAAAATGAACAAATCTCACAATCACGATTCCCGCTGCAGTTGTGTATGAAAAGTTAACATCAGATAAGCTGCAATAATTTACGTTGATAATTTTGTGTCTCCACTTTTATGCCAGACGTCTTCATACGGGGTACGAACTCACATTGCTGCCCAGGGGGTAGCTGAAGTGACACTTGGGTGCGCAGGTCCATCATCGATCTGTCCCTAATCTGGGTCAAAATGCGTCGTTAGGCTTTGTTTTGCGGCCGCAGTTAAGACACCCCGCGGGTGGTCGCGCCGCTGCGTGAGCAAGGGGGACTGGAACGCCGATATCCAATGCACTTGCATGAGTCAGCGGATTAAGCAGACACAACCGCTTGATCAAAAAATCCGATTTTTAAAAGCGAGGTCAACGTCATACCTGCAATCGTGCTTGTCCAATAGCCTCGGGCTGTACGTACAGTCTTCCTTGTCTGGTGTAGAGTCAAGTGCGTTACTGACACAAAATAGACCCCACGCACTCTCCACCATTTTTACTTAGGGCTCGTCAGTTATTCCGTTTATTCTACAAGCTATAACTGCAGCATGATTCCTGATTCGGTACATTCTCTATCTAGCACGGAATGTCAGCAAGGAATCTTAAAGTTCTTGGAGCAGATCACCTTGTTGGGATCTGCTTTCGAACCCATGCGCGCATGGTGCTTTTTAAGGCAGATTTATATCGATTTTTTGCCCTAAAAACTTTAGGATTTTTTTCAATTATACTAGAAATGTCATTGTGCATTCAACATCTAACGACGTACATAATCTCATGCGCCACTTCTCACAGCAATTCAACGCCGAAAAAGGAGCAAAAGTCGGCTGGAAGGAAGAGGAAGCATGTGGACCAGGCGGCGAAAGAAACCTCCAAAGAGGTCTCCGGGAGAAAGGCTGCAAAGAAGAAAAGGACCGACAAGCAGGCCAAGAGAGCCTCTAAGAAACATCCTCACAGTGACGAGGCTGGCGGCGACGGAAGTGGCCCAGAAAAGGAGACTAAAAGACCCCGACGTGGGCACATAGAGACCGGCAGGTTCCCTCGCTCCTTCGCCGTTCAGGTATGTGGATAAAAATTTTTTAAGCTATATACAGTGGATGTGGTAACTCGTGAAATTTTAGCCGAAATTCTGAAATGCTTTCTCGACTCGAAAAGATTACTTTAGTAGGGTTGTAATATTAATCACCGTGTAGCATAGTCCCATGATAATTCAGTTACCTCAGGACGCCGGCTTTTGAATGAACTTCTTTCCGGCTCTCTGAAAAACCCACGTCTTACAAAAATGACTATGTATTATGAATTTTTCTCATTGATTTCTCATGCCCTTATAGATCTAAATGTACTTCATAGAAGACATGCATAAAAATGTTCATTTTTCTCATTTGGCAACACATTGCATCTTCTCTAAAGTTCATGCTTGAAAGAGGGGTATAAGTCGGTTTTAAAAACGTTTTTAATATGAGGTTTTTAAGACCATGAAATGCCCGTTCATAAAGCATCGTGTCTCAGCATTTACTAATGTTGCATGTGAAGTTTGCCACATGGCTCAAATCAACTTCTAAAATTCACAAACCCCATATGGTCTCCTCTTAATACCGGAGAGCAATGTATGATTTTCTGTACACGGAAAACACAGCTTGTAGTTTCGTAACCCTGAGTGTAGGCCGGGTCCAAAATTACTCCGAAATTGAAAACGTCTTCGAAAATCAAATTATACCCCTTTTTCAAGTATAAAATTTGAAGAAAACGTTCTTTACCGTATCAGTAAATAAATGAATATTTTTATGAATTTCTTCTATGAAATATATTTGAATTTATAAGGACGTCGGAAATCAACGAGAAAAATTCCTGCAAATTAAGTAGCCATGTTTTGCAGAGTGTACTTTTTTCAGGGAGCCGGAAAGAAGTTTATTCAAAGCCAGCATCCTGAAGTAACTGAATTATCATCGGACTATGCTACACGGTGATTAATATAACAAGCCCACTTAAGTAATCCTTTTGAGTCCGAAACGCATTTCAGGTGCTTGCACATCTACCAAGCGTGGTCGTTTAACGCATACATAGATGTTTTGACACATTTTTGAATAGTTCTCATTGACCCAACTGTGAAAAACCTCGCGTCTCGGTGAGATTCGAATCCACGCAGTAAGAGGAAGGGTTTAGTACAGCCGACGCTCTAACCACCTTAGCTACGAGGCCCCCCCCCGGACGATGCGAGTTTAATCACATACCTTAGTAATGGGAAGCATCGTATAATGCAGGGTTAACTTAACTCTGTGGTCCTCTTGTACAACTTGTTTGCGTTTAATAACCTCCAAGTTACGCAACTAACAATTCCATGCGTCTCTGAAACCAGGGTACCCTATCTCACTGCGATGGGGCTCCTTTAGATAGCATCCTTTCTTTCCACTCACTAGTTATGAAATTCATTTTTCCTCACTTTTGTTGTGATGGTCCTCTCGTCGCATGTTCGGTTGGGCTTAATTCTTTTCTGTCGATCATCACTAGTGAGTTAGTCAGTGCGAAACAGACACCCGTCCCTGGGTAGAATCGCCCCCACCAAACCGCAAATAAGCTGACCGTTTGTGTCAGACAGCTGGTGGATGGGATTCTCTGTTTGCAAGTTCTCAGTGCAAATAAACTCTGCAATATCATAAATACGGTTTCCTCATTAGAGAAAAAATTAACTGATACACATGGACCACAGTACCTAGAAGTGATGAATAATTTTAATCTAATCGGAATTGCTAAAATGTTTGCGATTTTCTGACGAATATATTGCAGTATCCCTAGAGTGAGTCATGAAGGGCTAAAGATAGCCAATGGGGAAAATTTGACGAGATTAAGGGCGACAGTAGTTGTCTGCTCTCAAGCGGAAATAAGCCTTCTCGCACCCCTAGCGGTTGGAGTTGCACATAGACCGGAGGCAACCATCAGGCGTCAGTTAATGAAACCTAAAGACCCACTACCACGGCCAGAAACGTTTGGAGTCGTTTATCGGATCTGGTGCAGTTGCGAACAAAGCAACTACATCGGCGAGACCGGAAGACAGCTCCGAACGCGAATGGCCGAACACGCTGTAGTGGTGCGGAGAAACGACGCCAGGTCTCAAGTTGCGGCTCATTCGACGAGATCCGGCCGCACATTGAAATGAAGCGAGGCCGAAATTCTCGCAACAGGTGACAACCGCGTGAGCCAGGAGCTAATAAATCATGGTTTACTGTCCTACAGTCCATTAACAACTGCAATGAACTTCCCATTCCATACTCGGTGCTGAGACTTCGTCCACGTGGAGTAATTAGCCACGCTGGGAGCGCACAAGTGAACACATTTCCCAACTCCAGCGTCGGTGGATCAGATGGTCGAGAAATCATCACACCAACACCAACGAATGTCGGCCATCAAACAGCACACCAAATGCGGCGATCCTGGGTGAATGGGGGGGGGGGGGGCGTGAGCATTTATAGGTATGCGGTAGCATGGCGACTGCATACTATAAATACTGCAGTCCCTCGTGCATGAACCAATCGTATCTGCTTTGTCTCTGATGGTGGGCTCGAGCAGAAATCCGAAACGTCAGGTTAATAAAGCTCTAGTCCCAGCGATCGTGTCTCCTTCTTCAAGACTGCTTCCCGGGACTCGTCTCTTCGCTTCTATTGGCAACATTTGGTTCTCTCATAACCAAGCTTGGTCAGCGATCCTTGTCAGTTACTTCTGCTTGGCTTCCTTTTAACGATTTGAATATATGTAATTATTTGCCATGATAACAGCACGAGTACTGACTAAGAGGTCCAGACACACGTGTTTCGCCGATCTTGTGCCGCTGACTGGCGCAGCTGCGAGGAGTTCGGCTCATCAATGGGTCTCCCAGTCTTCCAGTATGGTTTCTGGTATATGAACACCAGTTTCATTCTCCCTTGTTTAATTTCCAAGGAATTTATTGCGCGAACTTGGAGTAAATCCTTCGGAACAGACCTTTTCAGGCACAGTCCGAAAGTTGATGTGCACATCAGAACCGACATCGATCAACCACTGCGGAATAATATTCACAAGCTGCCAAAAGGCAGCCAATAATATACAATCACTGAATTATTTGCCACACAAGCCAGGACAAAACTGGAGTTTATATGCCAGAAAAAACCCGGGGACGCTGGAGCGCCCATTGATGAGCCAAACCCCTCTCAGATGCGTCAGACAGTGGCACCAGATCGGCGAGACGTACGTGTCTGGGCTTTTAGCTACTACCCAGGCTGTCCGTATGGCTACTCGTTGGCAGCTTGTGGGTACTACGCGGTTATACCGCGGGAGCTGATGCATTTGGGCTCAGATATTCACATCAACTTTCGGACCGAACCGTAGAAGGTCTGTTCCGAAGAATTTACTTTAAGTTCGCACATTAATTTCCGCGGAAATTAAACCAGATAACATACACCTATACTCAGATGCACGCCTATTTTGTTGAGTTGGCTCGACCGAACTTATGGCCCGTGGGGGGGTATTAGATCCCTACTAACTTCCTTTTAAGGAATCAAGCCTATACTCACCTGCGGGACTATCTTGCTGTGATTCCTCGGCCAAACTTATGGCGCGGGGAGAATTGTATGCGTGGTTCTGTTCAAAATGGGTTTTTATTCTGGGCCAGCAAACTGGTCATTCGTAACAGTGCACCCCAACGAATGTCCGGGGCCTCTAGGTGTCAGTTGTGTTACTAAAGCTAGAAGACCGGGGCTTATTGTTCCCCTGTAATTTTATTCACGCACATAGTTTAATCTACTTCCTAGAACCCTATAACTTTTCGCTAAATGTGAGACATAGCAGAGTCTCACGGCGATTTAAGGTGGGTATACCATTTCTAATAACCTTCCAATTTTCGTAAAACCTGAGGGAGGATTTCGTCAGGGATCAATTTCGCTCTGAGTGTCACTATCTCACCGACCGTACACATTGTAGTATGAATACAATCACTTGCTATTTTCCTATCGAGTATCCACCATACGCCTATCTAGTAGTACACCCATGCTGCACTGCTAACAGAACGTGTGAATATGTCGACTCTTTGACAAGGTACGCGGTCCCATTAACGTATTTATGCGTACGTATGGATTGGAGTTCTAGGACGACGCCATGCTGCTTCGTTGGGTGTGGTCAGCTAATTATCGTCGCATCGAGGCGCTGTCAACGAACAGGTTCGAACGAGCAACTTCAGAGCGTCAGTCGTTGTCTGGCGCTTGGGCCTGTCGAGTCTCTTTGTCTGCCGCAGCGCTGGCTCTTCTGCCAACCCCGCACGTTGCCTGGTCCGCTGCGACCAGCACGAAATGACGAGCAAACTGCCAACCTGGCTTTAAAAGGGGTCTTAGTGGATTGAATGAGCAGTCGCAGACTAGAGAAGCAAATCTTTGGGAGCTCAAGCAGGTGTTTAGCTTAGAAAGGCACTATATTATTGGCAAATCCGTAATTTTACGGGCCGTAATTATTTAACAGTTCCAGAACAGGGCAAAGAAACCTAGTAGGACGATTTCTTGACTATTTGCCGTTCGTTAGAAAGTAGTGTTTCCAGCCTAGACTGGGAAGACCTGAGGTTTGAACTGAGTTCTAGTTCTTTTAGAGTTGAAGGTTCTAGCCCCGGATCACCGCACTAAGCCCTGTCGGCTGTGATCAGAAGTATCCAAAGACAGTTTTAAGAAACGCTTTATCGGCTTTTGAGGACCCAAATAATTCCTAACGTAAAGCGGCAGAAAAGAATCTCCGACACTGAGGTCCTGCAATGGACCAACGTCCTCATCACCCACTCTATGATGCGGCCGATAAAACTGCGATGGATCGTCCACATCGTGAAGATGGATGATGAGCGTCCGTCCAGACGGCTATTTTACGGCGGAGTCGTTGCGAATGGTCGCGGGCAAAGTGAACACCTTGAAGACTGATTTTGTCTCTGATGATGGGTTCGAGCAGGAATCCGGACCGTCAGGCTAATAAAGCACTTGTCCCAGCGATCGTGTCTTTTTCTTCAAGACCTTGAAGACTTCCGCGAAGCGCCTGCGAATTCATCCGTAGATCTGGGAGAACCTCGCTTAAGATCGGCGGGCGTGATGCACTGCGTAGGGACCGGAGTAACAGGAAAGACTTATTCATCCTAGATGCCACCGGGGAATGTTATTTACATCACAGTCAAGGCTCTCCCAGCTCCGTGCCTCATGACCGCAGGCAACTGTCCACCTCTCTCAACATTAGCGATAAAGTTCTTAAAGGAGTTTCGCCAGTCCCTGTCGGCCTCATTCCCAGAAGGCCCTGCATAGGGCTCCTATGAGGACCTGGCTCTTTTTCACTCCACATGGTGAACAAACGTCAGTGAGATTCAATAAATTCTGCGCTCTTGAACCCACAACTGACAAGAAACGGTGCAATTCCCCCACTTGCAACTCCGTGTTGACGGAAGGTAAAAACTCCAGTCTCCAAATAGGCTTTTTTAGCCTCCGGAAGGTTATTCTTACCAATTTTCCGCCACTGACAGCATCACTGATGGGTCAGTCGTTCCAGAAAGTAGACTTTGGCATCTTCTGTAGCGAGGCAAGACATCACTTCGAAGGCATTGTTGAAAGCCCGCAGCAGAGTCCATGATGCAAGCAGCATTGACTTCTTGCGGCGTCTCCAGACGGAGTTTGTTTGTACCGGTTGAGGCACCACAACAGGCTTGACATACGAGACCTCGCAGACTTTCCTGCGATCGCAGTTTGGGTTAAAAGACTCTTGGTTCAAGAGTGCGGCGTTACACTGTAAACAAAATGAACCCGGCTTCAGGTTCCGACTTTCAAGCAACATGGAATAGAGGTCTAACTAACTTGCGGGGGCCGACAAGTCCGAATGGCAGCATTTTTCGCCCCTATCGATTTGACGGTAGTGACGACGGTTTCTGGTGGCGTTGGTGTTGGTGAAGAATTTGGTTGTTGGAGGTGTAGAAAGCGTGTTGGTTGTGCTGACGCATGCCGTGAATCCCGCTGCCGTGCATGCGCATGTTGTCAAAAGGACCCATGCTTCGTCTGACTGTTCTGGGGCCGTGTGGACAGTGAAGGCCTGTGTGGCATGTATGTTGGGACCCCAGGACCTGGTTCTCCAGTCTAAGCGCGAGGTATTCGCAAGTGACCGACCAGGCCGATACGTTTTGAGGAGATGCAATCGCAATGCGAACATGCTAAAGTTGAGTCGACTATACTGATAGAAATGACGATTGTGGTAATGTTTTGCAGCGTGTTGGGAGTGTCCTCACTGGTGGTGGCAGTAGCAGGGGGTGTTTTTGAGTCCGTAGGTGTCCAAAAGGACACGATTACGGAGGTTATGTGCTGGTTGGGTCATTAGTTCGTAGCGCGGGAGCATTGCGGGCTTCGCACATTGCCTTGGAAGTGACCATTCGGTTTGGTTCAGGAATGACTTCTGCAGTCCTTATGGCAGTGCGCCACGCCTGCGATTTGAGCGAGGTTCTTCCATGGCTTCGAGTTTATTCGCAGGTTCTACATGGAGGTCTTCATGGGATTGTTCTGCGACGTTCATTTCTACGTTGCTTGTTATCTATCATAAGGACATTAGCGCAGAGGGGCCGCTAGGGCAGATACTGGTCGTCCAGCTATGGGGCGTGGTCTCTCCATCGCAGTTCGATTTCCTCAACACGATGTGGATACTGAGACCGCCGGTTCTTTCCGGGATCTCAATGTTTGGGTCCTTTCCTGCCACTTTATCCTCCGCATTTTTCGCAGGCAGCTGAGGTGGAAGTGGATGGGTCTTGTTACTTATCCTTCATAAACAATCTGCGCCTCTTTTCCGTACAAGGGCTTTGTGAGACCAACAGTCCCGTACATCCTCAGCTTTGTTTACACAAGGATGCCTCTACGGTTCCAGACCGACCCCCGTTTTTGTTGCCGACTAGGATTTATCTTAAAATTGGACTCATAAGGGACGGGAATTTATCCGCTGCCGTGAGGTGACTTCCATTGACGGTAGGATACGAGCAAGTGGACTTGCGTTAGATTCCAGAGAGACTAGAACTAGGGTGAAGGCTAGGACACGTGAATAGGTATTTATCTTGGAATTTAGTCCAATGTTAAAGGCAGTATGTTATTACCGACAAAGACAAGGGAGACTGCAATGGCCGTTTCTGGCTTGTTGGTCGTCGTCAGTCCGTCATACTCAAACGCGAAGTGTGGAACACCCGAGCCTCGAACTCGCGACCTGTTTGTTAGAAGTCCACGCCTCTACTCACCGGGCCACGAGTCCGTTGCCCTGTCGGTTTTCTATCGGGAATATACAGTGGTAGGGGGCGCTCACCGATCGTTCATACGGAACTCACTCGTTCCGTTGTGTCTTATGGACTCTCTCTCGAGCCCAACCAGCAGCCGCACAGCGGCGCATGATATAGGCAGGATTGCATTACCGACAAAGACAAGGGAGACTGGAATGGCCATTTCTGGCTTGTTAGCCGTCGTCAGCCAGTCATACTCAACCCCGAAGTGTGGAACACCCGAGGCTCGAACTCGCGACCTGTTTGTTAGAAGTCACCGCCATTAGGGGGACGGTGGGTTACTCTTCTCGTGTCAACATGTGGGATCCCTGTTTTCTTTGTGCTAATGGTCAGTACCAAGATGAAGCCGTCGGAGTCCAAGAGGTCCACATTCCCCTTCCATTGTGGTGTTTAGTGTGCAGTCATCAAAGAATAATAGATCTTGGACACTGACCCTTGTCACTCCCTGAGATGCTTCCATGCGATGCAGGATGAGCAGTTTTCTATGGGTTCCTTAGCCGGTTTCCGGCCGCAGCTCTGTCGATCCGGTCCCGTAATCGAAACACTGCTTCAATAGAAGCTTGTGCCCTAGTTTTTAATCAGGGAACAATACCCACTCTCCAAGCCATTCGCATCCTAACTCTGCGCTCCTAAGAAAAATTCCATATATTTTAGAATAATGTCGGTTTTCTATGGTTAAGCAAATTACTCTGTATGCATGTGATGTTTACTGTGTGTAGGCGATTTAATCATTTCTACTTCTCGACAGTGACAGAGTGCATAACAGACTGCTTTAAACGAATAGGTAAGAATTATATAATGAAATTCAGCCATCTTACCTTTTCCCGAGGGAGCCAAACGTTGGAAGCAACTTCCAAAATAATGCCTCTTTCTGACATTCCCTCTTACGGCTTCTCGATCGTTTTTAAGTTTGTATGATCTCCTCTTGGACATGATGTGATTAACGGGATTCGGAGTTTTTGACAGTGTCTCCTTGAAATTAACTAATGCGCGCAACCATGCCTTTTTCTAAAAATTTGTCAACTTGCCTCAGTGATCCATCTCAAGAAATGTTAGCCGTCATTCCGACATGCGTTTTCGATTAGGAAGGGTTACTTAGGTAGGGTTTTAACATTGATTATCTTGCGGCAAAACGCCGTGGATATTTCAGATTCGCTGGCGTGTTGGCTTTTGAATGCACTTCTTTTCAATTTCCTGTAAAATCTGAACCCGGTAAAAAATGACTACATAGATAGCACTGATTTTTCACGTTGGTTTTTCGATAGCCTTATATATTCAAACATATTTTGAAGAAAACATGTACAAAATGAGTTTTCTTTCACTGTTTTGGCAGCAAATTACGTAGCCTTCGCATTTTGTTCTCAGAGAAAAAGTACTTTTCAGTTTTGAACAAAGTCTAAGTATGAAATTATTGAGACCGTACAATGTGTAGTTCGTAGAGCATCGTACCAGTCCGTTTATGAATGTTCGTCATGAAGTATACAAAATAGTCTGGCATCCATTGCAACATTTTATGAACTCTCCTTGATATCTTAACGGCGTAGAGGAAGATATGATTTTTTCCACGCGAAAAGCGTATACCTTGTAGACTGAAATTGCTGAGTGCTAATGCAACGGCTAATCTGGCTCAAACATTTCGGAAATCGGAAAACTCTTTCAAAACCTAACTTTACCCCTTCTTCATGAACAAAATGTGAGGACGACGTAATCTGTCACCAAACGAGTAAACGAAACCGTATTTTGTACACATTTTATATCAAATATATTTGGCTGTTTAAGATCATCGAAAATTAATGTGAAGGGTGCACGCTACTTAAGTATGATATCGATAATTGGCCATACGAAGGCTTTTTCTAATACGATCAACTTCAATCCGTTGTGCAATTTTTTCTTACAGGCCTCTCGACGGCTAGCTCAGCATCGGCGCGACGGTGCCAAAGTTTCCACGAACCAGCTCGGCAAGAGGATCAAGGGTGAAAAGACCAAACTGAGTCGAGCGCACAGACAGGCCGACAAGCCGAGCAAGGGTGTCCGACGGTGGAAACTGCGCGCCAGCCTCCGTAGACCCGGCACGGTGGTCATTCTGTTGGCAGGCCGACACCGGGGCAAGCGGGCCGTCTGCGTGGGTCGTCATGCGCACTCTGGACTTCTTCTCATTACGGGACCCTACTCCGTCAACGGGATTCCTGTACGCAGGGTCCATCCCGACTACGTCATCGCCACCAAGACTGTCATACGCCTCAGCAATGTACGTAACGGGCTACCCGCTGTAGCTCTGCGCTTACAATTAGGCTTAAGAGTTATAATTTTCCTAGAAAATATCATTTACATTCACTGAAAAATTACAGTAAGTGTGCCGTTACACTTGCATTCAGCGTTTCCAAACTACAAGCCATCTATGTTCCGCGTACGGAAAATCATACATTCCTCTGCGGTATTAAGAGGATTCCATATGCGGTTCATAACATTTCGCGGTGTATTTGAGACATATTGTTAACTTTACAAGCCACATTGGTAAATGCAGAGACTTGACGTTTTACGAACGGCCATTTCACGGTATTAAAACTTCCGACAATGAGAAAGTTTTTCAAAACCAAATTATACCCTTTCTTCGAGTGGAAAAATTGGTATAAGACGTAATTTGCAACCGCAAGGGCAAAATAATAAGCATTTTATAGTGTGTTCCATTGAAAATAATTGAATTTTTAAGGGCATCGAAAATCAGTTATAAAAATGCATGTTACTTGCGTAGTTGTTTTTCCAGAGTGTAGTTTTTGCATGCAGTCTGAAAAAGGGCCGTTCGATAGCCGGCATCTCGAGCAAAGTAAATTATTATGGGATTATGCTGCATGATGATTAGTTCTACAAAACGAAAATGCATTTCAGAATTTCTGTTAACATTTCATGAGTTAGCACACCTACCGTACGTATGTTTAATTTAGGACTGCTGATCAGTTTTACCATATGCTTTATAGTCTTAAAACTGCTCCAGATTTTCTTTTCTTCCTCATGGGCGATCAATTTTTCTTTCCAAATTACGAGTTGTCTTTATCAGTGATAGGCCAAACCTCACCAAGTACTGGCTGGGACCTTTTTACTGCGCCATCGAACAAAAGGCTGCGCTTAAGTGAGGTTGCAATAATAATTTAAATAAAACGTAATGTCTAATAAATCAATACACTATCGGCTGATTAATCATGGTTTAACAGTTGCGCAATCGCCTACTCTCCCTCAACGGGATTCCTGTACGCAGGTCCATCCCAACTATGTCCTCTCCACCAAAACTGTCATACGCCTCAGAAATGTACGTCACAGCCTACCCACTGTTGTCCTGCATTTACGAATAGGCTTACAAATCATAATTTTTCCAGAAATTATCATTTACATTCACTCAAGAATTACGTTTGTTGAATTTCTGACGGCTGGCCAGTTTTGCCATATTTTTTCAGGTCTAAATTTTTCCAGATTTTTACTTCTCTCTCTCTTCTATAGACGGGCGATTTTCCTTTCTAAATTACGAGTTGCATTTATCGATGGTAGGACCAAACTCATTTGTTGAGACCTTCCTTGATGTTCCATCGAACAAAGGGCAGTGCTTAAGTGGGGTTGCAACAGTAATTTAAATGGGGCATTATACCTAGTAAATGCATACTCTGTTGGGTGATTGTTTATGGTTGAACAGCTGTCCAAACACCTACCCACGAAAAATCCCCTCGTAAGTAATTCGATTTTTTCCCTAGCTAGTAATTGGCTTTTCAAGGAGAGTTGCATAAGAACGTTTTTTATTCTTTCGATAGAAGTCGTTCTCGCAAATTCGTTACGAAACTGTATAGCTCTTTTTGCCTTTTTTGAAATCTTTACGATTTACGTGCATTTTTTGCTACTTGATTGTTTAGAAGAAAAACTTGTTGTCTCTTTAGGTTACATTCACATATTTCCGATTTTTAGGACCTTAGCCACGTCTTATTGAGGCAGCTTCAATGGTGCTGCGGCACATATGGAGAGTTTAATTCACTCGTCACGCCCTCATATCTTGGTGAACTTTTTCAGGCCAGGTTTTGACCAGATATCCTTCAAAGCCATCTTATTTCGGTCTTATAATAGAATTAATCGCGCCGGATGTCTCAGAAGGTGCCCACACGGCCTTAGTCGTTATTTCTGGGCGACCTGAGGTATAACCGCAATTCCGCAGGGAGGCTAGATTGTGCAATTTGCGAAAAATATTGATCAATTTCACTTAGAGGACCATTCCTAATAGGCGGTGATCGATAACCGTTGAGAAGGGGTCTATGAGACGGGCACTTAGTACATGCGAATCGTTATGGCGATTCAAATAACGCAGCGGTTTGCAAAAACTCTGCGAGATAAGTAGATTAAGATCACGATGTCCTCCTTGCTACTTTCCGTTGAAAAACAACTGTTTTCCGAAGTACCCGAAACTGTCCACTTTTTGAACATACGGCCTTTGATGGACGTGGGCTACTTTTCCTTGTCCGAAATGCGAATGCGTAACGCCTTGATGTTTGCATAAACTGACTAATTTAGCGGTTTTGTTTATTCGAAACTCTAACCTCTCTATGCGCTATCATAAGATGGCGCCATTATGACGATATCAGTCGTGCGGTCTAGGACAGCCACCCGGTGTTCCGGCGCAAAAAGACTTTGTAAAAACTTTGTATAGCGCTTCAGGCCGCACTGACGATAGGATTCGAGGACAATTTGTGCCGGACCAGAACTCGGCCAAGTGTAGAGCAATGGTGCGTCTAAATCTGGCAATTCAAGCAATCACATGGGTAATACATTGTGCGAACACGTATGCGATCGTCCGGAAGGTTTCTTGTAGCTTTAAACCTCTTTACTTTCCCTCGAGTACAAAACCTGGACAGGATGGAGCCTTAAATGACTCGTCGTAGTGACAACAAGACAGTCCGATCCCCGTAGCCGATGATAACCACTGTGTGCTCCGTAGCGGGGTGAGAGCAGACACGGTGGCTTGCTCGTGAAGTAGTTTATAACGATGGCAGACTTGCGCAACATCTACCGCACTCTCCTCCACCCCGCCCCCCC